CAGTAGCCCCCGATTATTCATGGTTTCAGCTACCTGCAGTCAACTGCAGTTCAAAATGATTAAATGGAAAGTTACAAAAGTAAACAATTCATAAGGTTTTAAATTACATGCCATTCTGAGTAGCATAATGAAATCTTCCCTTTGTCCACCATATTCACCCCACTTATTCTCATCACATAGGCACTGTATCATCTCTCATCATCCTAAGAAGGGTGAGTACAGCACAATAAGATATTTTGAGAGAAAGACCATATTCACATTAACTTATCACATATATTGTTATAATTGTTCTATTTTATTAATTGTTGTTGTTATTCTCCTACTGTGCCTAACTTATAAGTTAAACTTTATCATTGGTATGCCTATGTAGGGGAAAAACATAGTGTATTTAGGGTTAGGTACTATCTGCAATTTCAGAAACCCACTAGGGGTCCTGGAACATACTTCTCATAGATAAGGGAGGACCACTTACTGTACGAACTGTCAACCGATGACGGTTGGCACCAATTCAGTGCCAACAGGAACCCCCAATTTAGGAGTGATGTGAAGAAGGAAACTTTATTCAGTGCGAAACCGCTCCATTGTGATACAGCAGAGCTGAGAGGCAGCCCCAGGGCCAGGCCCCTGGCAGGCTAGACAGTTCTGCTCTGCTCTCTGCAGGTTTGCGTTGTGCTGTGCTGGCCGGTCTGCCCCACTCTGCTTTGCCTTGTGCCATCTGCTCCGGCCTAGCCGGTCTGGTCCTCTCTGCTCCATCCAGACATTTTCCATGTTTCCGCTCAGCTGGAAAACAAACACAGTGCTCTGTTTTCAGTGGAAAGGGAACGTGCACTCTCAGAGCTAGAGGGGACCTCTGGACAGAAGTCTCTGTCTCTGGTCCCTGGTTTGTCCTCATGCAAATAAGGCCTCCAAATCCTTGCAGTTTGTTTGGTCCAAAAGGCACTGTCCTAGTTGGTCAGAATAGAGCCACTCTGGTTGGTCGGAGCTGCACAGCTCCGACTGGATGGGGAAAGCTTCAATCCTATTGGTTGAAATAGGACTCCGGGACCGCCTTACAAGGGCTGGCCCAGGTGGCAAAAACAGTGCTGCAGGCAGTTCAGTGCAGGCCTCTCCTTGAAGTGGCTTGTGTGAGAGGCCCCTGTGTAAAATGGCTGCTAGGCTCTGGCTTTTTGTTGGTTTGTTTTTTGTTTGTTTTTATTTGAGCCCAGTTAGCAACCAGGAGCCCTTCTTAGTCAGTGTCTTCTTTCTCGGGGTTCACATTACTTGCTGACTTGAGTGTAGAACTTCTGCAACTCTTATTTAAATTTGTAACTAAGCAGTACCTTTTAATTCAGATAGCTGATGGATCTACCATTTTACACTAGTTTCATTTTTACACTTGTTCATATTTATCTACTGTTCATTCTCATCAGCTCGTACCTTGGTGCTGCTGGGCATGGCTCAGCCACTGTGATCTAAAGGTGGAAATCACACGTCATGCAGATGGCTGCTCAGAGGGTTAGGAGTAGTGCTGCCTCTGAAGAGCTCTCACTGACACGAGAAGCTTGTCTAATGGTGCACATATTTATTTCTGTGGATCCTGAAAAAGATACGGTGTCATGACAGCAGTTCCGACACCGTCCCTGCTATTTGGGAAGGTAGGAGCCACTGAAGAGCCAAGTTCTCCCCTCTCACCTCAGAGCTCTCTGCCTCCTGGGGGGACCCTGGCTCTGTGATGGGGGCTCCAGAACCATCCCCAGGCCAGACCCCCCTCCTCTGAGCAGCACCCTCCACTCCCCTGCCTGCAGGGTGGGGAGACATGTAACCGGAGGCTGCAGACCAGCTGTAGTGTCAGACCTCCTGATTCAGATCAGAGCTGTCAGTCCTGGTCCCTCTCTGACCTCATTGCCTTGTCTATAAATTAAGGATAATAATGGTCCCTGTTTTATCCCTGTGGGTTGTTATGGGGGTTAAAATACAGATAAAATGCTTACATCCTCCCAGGCAAGCCCTTAGTAAATGGTAGCAATGGCTTCTCCAGCCTCCCTGGGTGCTCCTCTGCCTCTGGCCCTTCAGCAGTCAGTGCGCTGTCCCCAAACACCGCAACACCGCTCTGCAGGAGCACAGGAGGCCACCACCCCGTGCGGCCTTCTGGTGGCGCTCCCTTCACAGCCGTCCTTCTGACTCCATGCTGCTGCACTCCCACTCCCTCTCCTCATCGACTCCGCCTTCGCCTCCATCACTCATCAAAACAGTATTCTTGGGGAGGCCAAGGAGGGCCTGCGCAGAGCAGTGCTGTTCCCCTCCGCGTGGCCTCGCAGCTGTGCCAGCCCAGGCAGCCTGCCTCTGTTCCTCTGTGATACTGCTCTCTGCTTGCCTGTCTCCTCCTCCCGTCTGCAATCCTCTTCCTCCATGCCGTTGGCAGTGCTCAGGGCACAGGCCCGGCCCTCTGCTCCGCACTCAGACCTCTCCCCCAGAGTTCCATTCATTCTCTCGCCATTCCATACACCTGGCAGCGCCCAGACCTCTCCCCAGAACTTCTGACTTGGATATTCGAGGACCTGCTTCATACCTCATTTAGATTATGCTAAATTCACACATCCCAACTGAGCTCTTAGTTAATCCTTCCCAAGTCTTGTTACCGTCCCTTCTGTCCATGTGACTAAACGGTATGTCCATCCGTCTCCTTACTCAGGAGACCTGGGGTAGCCATGGTTCCTCCCTCACCTGTTGGACCTCTCATCGAGCTCATTGCCAGTTTCTCTTGGTACAAAGTGCATTGCAGGTGCTCTCCACTCTCTCCCACGGCCACGGTCCCAGCCCCGCCAGCTCCTGCCGCCCTGCACACACGCTGGCCTCACTCAGCTCTTCATGCTGCGGAGCGATCTGGAAGGTCACCCCATGCTGGCACTTTGTGTAAATCCTAGGGCCAGAATAATCACAGAATAAGCCCGAAAACCTAACCTCGGCCTGTGGGACTGCACAGCCGTGTCACACGTCACCTCACCTCTGCCCTCGGGCTTCTCTTCCTCTGACCTTGCTCCTCCTTGTCTCAGCGCCACCACGGCTGCTATTCCTCTGCTAGAAAGCTCTTCCCGCTGCTCTTCACCTCGCTAGCCCTGACCACCTGTCCTCACCCGAGCCTGCCCTTCCCTTCGTTGCCTCACACGCATCACAGTGGCGTGTGTGAGGATGCACGCCTCCCGTGGGGCCCAGAACTGCTAAGGCTACACGTTAGGGCTGTTTTGTTTTCACTGTTTGGTCTGCGCCTGGCACCTTGAGTTCCACACAGGAAGTGCTGAGTCATCTTTGACTGAATGACCACCAGCTCCTGCCATAAAGTACAACAGGGTGGGAGGTGGCAGGGGAATGGCAGCCAGAGCTCTGGCACCACAATAGAGGACATCCATCGTGTGGCCCCAGGTGTGCCGGGTGGTGCAGGGTTGGGGACATGGTGGCAACGCTTCTTTGCAGGTGTGGGAGGTGGGGGAAGGGGCTCCTGCCAGACTTCCCAGAAGAGTTGACGCTCAGGATGAGAATGCGAAGTTAGCAAGAGGGTCGGACGAGGCCAGCCCTCCAGCCCTCCCTTTCTCCTGCCTCTGTCTGCCCCTGCGACAGACCCTACAGAACTTCAGCTTCTAATCTTGCCCCAGGGTAAATCCAGGACAAGGTCTACAGAGTTATCTGAGGGAGCAGAGAAGGAGAAACTACTAGAAATTGCTACCCTGTGTCTCCTGTCTTTCATTTCCTGCCCTGTACCCATTCCCTGGCTCCACGCCAGCTCCTGCAAAGAAATGGCCCAGAAGTGTTGGTGAAGGGAAGACATCGAAGGAGTGGTTGGGTAGTGGGGAACCTCTGTACCCCAGCGTGTCTTGCTTATTAAAAACAGTGAACATCTTTGGAGGAACGTGGAAAACACTGTGCTGTCTCTGATGCCACCGGTGAAAGGCAACTTCAGAAAAGCAGGGCTGGAAGAAGACAGATAAGGCCTGACAGGCCCGCATAGGCCAGTGGCTCAGAGTTAGACAGATGTCACCTCACGCTCTTCCCAGAAGGGGAAGTAGGACCCCTCGGACACACAGGAGGAGCCTCCAAAAAATTTTCCTGTAGAAACTGCGCTGCACAAATGGTTGCAGTCTATAGAGCATCATGCTATGGATCAGCTATGAATTAAAACAGGTCATAACCACCGTCTGTGAAATTGTTATTAAAGAAAAATACTTTTTAACTTTCAAGCAACAGATTTACAAATACAGTTACTGAATATTTACTAGGTGTCAAGCACTGTGTGAATCACTGTACATGTGTTGTTATTGCATTTGATCCTTCTGACAACACTGTGAGAGAGATAGGCCCATTTTACAGATGAGTAAACTGAGGTTTAGAGGGTAAGTCGCTTTCCCAAAGTCATACAGTTAGTAGGTGGTAGCCCTGAGAGTCAGACCCACTTTCAGGCATAACTATTTTTAAATTAGAGGCTGCATGTACCTGTACCTTAAGGCAGCAGTTCTCAACCTGTGGGTCGCAACCCCTTTGGCGGTCGAACGACCCTTTCACAGGGGTCGCCTAAGACCATCCTGCATATCAGATATTTACAGTACGATTCATAACATAGCAACATTACAGTTATGAAGTAGCAACGAAAATAATTTTATGGTTGGGTCACAACATGAGGAACTGTATTTAAAGGGCCGGAAGGTTGAGAACCACTGCCTTAAGGCCTCTACCCACCTCATTTTTTCACTCTCTCTCTTCCATCACTATACATTTGTTTAACCTTTTTGAAAGCTTTCCTTTTTTTTCCCTTTGAGCATTTCCCTAGTTTCTTAAATTGAAGCGGAAGCACATTCACATTATTTTGTAAATACATACTTGGTCACTATTCATTGATACTATAAATATTAACCGCTGCTGTGACCATGAGGAAAAGAGTCACAGATTGGATTCATTTTTGCATTTTGAACTCTCTTAATCTCCTTTTTTCTGTAACCCGTTTCTATTTAAAATTTCTTCCCTCCTGAAAGGAAGAAGATCTCTCTCCCCAAGTCAGCGATCGTCTGCCTCTGGCTTCGACACCTTCCCAGCCTTGAAAGAGCAACGCTGCATCTTTTCGAAAAGCTAATCTTCAGTGAGAGAAATTCTCTGAGAAGGACCGAATGCTTCATGAAAGAGTCATTGCTGGTACGTGCCTGACTTTGATGAGGAGAAAAACCCTTAAAGAAGATGCTGAGTATCATTTATCATTTCATTTAGTCCGAGCAAGGGGGAAAATACAGGGTATTCCCCCAAAAATGTACACACCTTGAATAATTATTGATTCCAATGGATTAAATCTGAAAAGAAAGAAACATCAGTTGAGCTATCAAAAAATGTATGTGTATACATTGTTCATATACCCCACATAAACAAAAGAGCAACTGCTACCTTTTGAAATAATGATGTATTTACATTTTATTTTAAAAATACCTAACATAGGAGTCTTTTCTACATATTTAGAGCATATTTCAAAAATATGGAGAGATTCAAGATTTATTGGATTGCTGTACCTTATAAGGCATATTCATAAGACCTGACATGGTGGACAACAACTTTTTAAATACAGTATTTCTTATTTCCACATGAAAAATAAGTTTTAAAAATAAAGATTTTTAAGAACCAGAGGAGGAATCAATTAACAATGAAAAACTTTCAAAAATAAACATTTAGCTCTTCACTAGAGGGAAAAAAAAATACTCAAGAGACACAAAACAGAACTCCAGGAAAATGGCTTAAACAATGAAAACAACTAAGAATTTTGTAAGTTTTCTTTGGGCATAAGCCTGCCAGGCTTGAAAGCTGGCTCTGTACAGTGGCCGCCTTGTTCTCCGGCCTCAGGCCTGGGCGGTGAGGCTGGGGTGCGTCAGGCGGGCCTCAGAACCTGGCCCGTGGCAGGCAGCTCTGGAGGAAAGACTCGTGCCCCCTGAAGAAACAGTTCAGAAACTACAAGGAGGTGCCGTGCTCAGGGACCCCAGTGGCTCTACATGCTTCCTCCCTTGCTCTGGGAACGGGGGATACAGCACAGAGACCGCCTCCTTTGTGCAGATGGGAGCATGAGTCACAGCTTAGGTTGGTGGCCAGGAAACTGGGCAGAGTGCTCATCCTCCCCAGGAAGCTGGGACTTGGGAGGCGAGAAGCTCTGTGCAAGGCATGGTCTGAGGTTGGCTGAGTTTATGCAACGCCCATCTCTCAGGCACTTTCTCTTTGTCAAAACATTTGGAACATCCTGTTTTCTTTCTTTGTCTTTCAAATTGGAGGCTGCATAAGGGAATCGTAATTGAATCAGCTGCCTTCTTCCTCTATCTGATTTCTCCTTTTAGGTCCCAGTCATTCCCGCCAGCAGGTGGGTGTGCTTGCCCATGTCCATGCTCAGCTTTGTCCAGTGTCCTTGGCTCCTCTCTGCCTTCACCTGTGGGTCCTCGCAGGTGGCTGAGGGTAGTGTTACAGTCATCAGTAGTCGTGCTGCTTTCATCCATAAGTTAGGTGGCCCAGAGTGAGCCCAGCTGATTTAGAAGCTTAAATTGTTTGATTTCAGGGGGGCGGGTGGGGGGCGGGGGAGAGAAAGAAGGAAGGAAGATAGGTATAAAGACTGAGAGAGCCCTGGCTGGTGTAGCTCGTCTGGTTGGGCCTCGTCCCGTGCACCAGGAGGTTGCCAGTTCAGTTCCCGGTCAAGAGCACATGCCCAGTCCCCAGTAAGGGGTATGCAGGAGGCAGCCATTCATTCTCATATCGATATTTCTGTCTCTCTACCTCTCTCTCTCTCTCTCTCTCTCTCTCTCTCTCTTTTAATATATTTTTACTGATTTCAGAGAAGAAGGAAGAGGGAGAGAGAGATAGAAACATCCATGAGAATCATTGATTGGCTGCCTCCTTCATGCCCCCTACTGAGAATCAAGCCCACAACCCAGCATGTGCCCTTGACTGGAATTGAACCCAGGACCTTTCAGTCTGCCGGCCACCGCTCTATCCACTGAGCCAAACCAGCTAGGGCTCCTCTCTCTTGAAAAATCAATAAACTATTCTTTTTAAAAATGTTTAAAAAGAAAAAGAAAACCAACTCTTTGACTTAAAAAATAAAAATAAAAGTCTGAGAGAGCCCAAACAGGTGTTGTTTTTTAAGGGATTTCACCATTCAAAAGACTTCATGTTAAGGTGAGAAATAAGAATGTGCCTTATATAAAAATAATTACAATAAAATTCAAAGTAAACAAAGGCTTTAAGAAGCCCCCAGCACCCTATTCCAAGCACTACCTTCATTATCCGGGAATCTCTGTTTCTAACCTAAATGAACATGCTCTAATTTAATTTTCTCTGGTCCTTTTTCAGTGACTATTTCCTTCCTTTCAAGTTCTTTATTAAATTTTTTGTCTTCTCTCTGTTGAAGAATTCCAGTTCCATTGAATTTTCTGATTTGGCTTGAATCTGCACCCTTTCACTGGTCCTTGCGGTGGTTCTCTGAACCGTCTCCATGCCCCTCTTACCTGTGGCCATCAGGCCTGAGCAACACTTCCGCACGCACAGATACTGCAGCGAATGGGGAGAGGGAAAGCAGGCACTCCCATAAACACCGCACCGTATAACCTTCCGGCTCCGGTGCATCGTTTAAGATAATCTTCCCCGGTGCAGCAGCTTGGAAGTCAGTCCATGCACAGAAGCATTTATCGGATGATGTGTAGAGAGTCAGAGCTTCCATCATGGTTAAAGGGAAATTCCAGAGGGTGTTATTTGGCTTAATTTATTGTGGCATTGGCAGGATGTGACCTCTCTGTGCCTTGTGGGTCAAGGAGGCAATGGCAGTACAGAGCTGATTGGAGGGGGCAGCTCTCCTCAGCCATCCTGGCCTGCGATGCCAGAAAACCAGGCCGGCTGGAATACGCGTGTGACGTGGCTGAGTGATTAGAGGGTAACCTGAAGAACGTGCTTCCTAATTGCATCATCTGACTCATGTATCGCCGCGCAGCATCTTGGTGCAGTGACAGGCCCGTGCGGGGGTATGAGAGGCCTGGGAGGCTCAGGTAGCCAGGCGGCTGCGCTTTCCTCCGGAAGAAATGTGATGCCTATTACATTAGAGTTGGATTCTGAGAGTAATTAGAGTGTGATGGTCTACGTAACTCGTGTTTTATATGGAGCATTGTTAATTATGTTTCCGTCTCTTGGGACTATGCAGAATTAGCCCTGGAAATTCTGTAGTTGCCAAAATGTTGGGGGAAAAAGTGCGGTACAGCTTGTACAAAGTGAAATGATCTCCCCAAATGTTCTTTGGCTTTTAAGAGACTCAGAGGCCTGATATGTTCCATTAAGACTGTGAATAATAAGGCACTAATTGAATGTCACCTGAATTCTAACTGCATGTTTATATGCATATATGACTTCTAAAGTAAAAATAAATTCACTTTTGAGGCGCACCGCTAGGCTGGACGGCCCCCAAGTACATGGCCACCTGTCACAGTTTGTGGCTCCTACTAGTAAGTCACGGTATTAAACTTAGTTTGTCATTTACTGTGCAGACTGACACTTTTTAAAAGCAGATGGTCTTTCCTAGCTGAAATCAATAAAAGTATTTATTTTTTAAAAGTCCTCTCTGATCTCAATAAAAATACATTTTAAAAGAATAAGAAATAAAATCAGATGGTCTTGTGTTTCCCGTGACAGTACAGGCACTGGGAGACCATAATGCATAGCTTCCGACCTGACCTTAAAGACTGATTTCACCAAATGCAGTGAAAGCCACTGGATAATGACGCAGCTTTCTTTTTTTTTTTTTAAATATATTTTATTGATTTTTTACAGAGAGGAAGGGAGAGAGATAGAGAGTTAGAAACATCGATGAGAGAGAAACATCGACCAGCTGCCTCCTGCACACCTCCCACTGGGGATGTGCCTGCAGCCAAGGTATATGCCCTTGACCGGAATCGAACCTGGGACCTTTCAGTCCACAGGCTGACGCCCTATCCACTGAGCCAAACCGGTCAGGTGACGCAGCTTTCTTGATGTCTGGTTTCCAGAAAGGCTATTGTTTATACCCCACATTTGAATGGGAAGTGCTGGCTGAGTAGCAGGTGGCACTGTGCTTAGCTGCCCTGCTGCACGCCAAGGCCGAGAGGTACCCTGGTTTCCATGCCCTCCCTCCGCTCCTCGCTGGCAGGCCTCCCACACCACCTGCCTCACGCTGGTGAGCGGAGCAGCCCCTTCACCTCCCCAGGACAGACTTGCCCACCAGAGTACAGGGTCTCAGGAGAGTAGAGAGGGGAAAAGGAGGCAGGGGTGGTTTTTGTTTTTGTTTATTCAGATTTTAAATTAAATAATACTCCTCAAAAAAATACTCTTTGTATTCTCTCCTACCTAAAAGTCTTCACAGCTCAGTTAAAATTAGTTCTTTATCCCAAGTATGTCTTGATTTAACTCGGGGGGGGGAGGGGGATTAGTTCTTCATCTAATAAGAGCTTAAGAAATAAAAAAACATGTCGCCTTGATGTTAGGTGGGATACCTTCTTGTCTTCATTCTCCAGAAAGCAATGGTAGCCACTTCAGAAAAAAAAAAAAAGAACTCCCTTTACACAAAATTCCAAACACAATTTCCCTTTAATAAAAGATCACGTTGAATTTAGCTCCACATCCTGGGTTATGTCAGTTGTCTGTGCTTAAGTAATTCTTATTAATGCTCTAGGGTTTTCTTTTCCTGCTTTTTCATTAGCAGTCTTTTAAGCATTTCTTTTCTCAGTTCTTTAATGTGATGCATGTAATTTAAGAAATGCTGAAGTAGATAATTTAGCAGTGGTCGAATAGGGAAGTGCGGTGGCGGCCTATACTTGTGTCTGCCTCTCCCACAGTACTTGCACTTCCCAGTGTCCACCTCAGGGGGGCACCAGATCCCCCAGCATTGTTTCTGTGAAGAAAAAGGCGCAGATTGCAAATTCTGTTTTCACTGTTGGGGATGAAGGACTTTTCAACCAGAGATGAAGGGAGAGAGAAAAATTTAAAAATAAATAATAAAAACAGGGCAGGGGTCGACCTGGGAGTCATTGCCACTAAGAGGCTGAGCTGAGAAGCAGCAGGGGGCTGAGGAGCTGTCCGCCCGCTCAGGCTGCACCAGCTCACTGGGCAGAGGCCACTGGGCCAGGCTAGGCGAGTGACTTCAGACTTGA